TCTGTTAGGTGGCCGGCTGGGTGTGGTGATGGTGGTGGTGGTGGTGGTGGTGGTGGTGGGGTGAACTGATCTGCACCCCCCTGCCCACTAAAAAGTGGTCGTCGCCGCCGCAGCTGTTGGCACTGACCGCGCAAGACTGAAAAGTTGTAATCCCATGGTCCGAAGGGTAGGCTCGCGCTGAGCAGGTCCCAGAGTCGCCACTGCCGAGGATGGGGTATTCCAGGAAGGAGCTCATTCTTGCATTGTCCATCTGTCACTGAGTGACCGGGTCCTGCGAAGCCCTGGGTGACTGTGCCAACTTTCTCACTTCCTCCATGGGTCCGGAGAAGAAAAATGATATGAATGTACAGTGCGCAAGAGGGGGGGGCGGGAAGGCGGAGGGCGCAGTGAGAGAGTCACGTGACTTGTTCAGCCAATGGTTGAGTCTGCTGCGAAAGTTTGCCGGCTCCCGCGGTGATGGATCACCGTTTCAGTGGCATTTAAATCCCCGGCGCTCCTCCATCTAGGTGACGCGCAGTCGCCCCCCCAGGCAGCCCAGGCGGCCGCAGGAGCTGCGCGGCCGCAAAGGCTTCGGAGCGCTGGAGAGAAGGGAAGCAGTGGCCGCTTTCTGCGCGCTCCCGACTCTGCTCGCTCCCTTTCCTCTGGGAGGTGGGGGCTGGGAGGCATCCCCCGCCCCTGCCTCCTCCCCACCATGAGCGGAAGGACGAACTGGCAAGAGGTGAGAGGCGAAGAGAGCTCCCGGCTCTCTCGGGGCGGGAATCTGTGGGCCAGAGCTCCGTGGGCGGCGGCAACTCCACCCGCCCAGGCCCGGGCGTGAGGAGCAGGAAGGGTGGGACTCCGGCCGACGCCGCGCCCCCAGGACCCTGGGGTGCTTCTGCTGCACAGTCCCTGCTGTGAGGCCTCGCGGTTGTTAGAAGTCGGAGAATGGTGGCAGACAGTGAGGCTGGGCCACCGGCTCTTCAAGCACGGAACCGAGGGGGAAGGGTGCAGAGGGCTGGCTGGAAGGAGCCCGGTGGGCGTGGGGGACGAAAACAAAAAAGAAACGGAGGGAGAGAAATTTCCCTCCTCCGGGAGGTTCGCAGAAGCCCTCTTTCCTCCATACCCCCTTTCGCCATTAACGTGGCTATGAGGCGCTTCTGTAATTCGATCCCCCGGGGCGGGTGAGCCCTCGATACGAAGCTAGCCGGAAAAGGCCGAGGGTGGTCGGATTCTTCTCTGCCCTCCCTTTCCGCTCGCTCTCCGCCCCTTTCTCCTCCCCACTCAGCTTTGCTCCGGGAGCCCTACGGGATCTGAAGCAACTCGGCGGCTGGATTTTGAGGGGTAGGAGGCGGGGGAGAGAGATGACGCTAGCGGACGTGGCCAGCGTGGGGGCCGGGCCGTGCGCTGCAGGCCATCTGCCGGTCCCCAGTACCCGGAGCCTGCGCGCTCCCGCGCGGGCCTTAGAGGGCTGCACCACAGCTCCAACAAAGTGCCCCGAACTCCCCCCGCCACATTTCTCCTTCTCCGGAGGGGGATGTCAGGAGTAGGAGAGCCTCTTACCACCACCTTTCATTCTCCTGCACCGTCTGGAAGCGGGTGGAGGCTGGCAGGTGGGAGGGGCTGTGGACAGATGGCTGATGGCGGAAGAGATACTTTACTCTCCCCCAACGACACCTCTTTTTTCTAACTGACTGTGGTTGCTTGTGTGAACCTTTAAGTTTTTCCCTAGAGAGAAACGTGCAAATCTGAGCATCATCTCAGGCCAGGGGGTCCTGTTCTCCATCACCCTGGGCCTACCCTGATGCTGATGGGGTCGTTAATTGCAGTTTGTTATTAGGTTTCAATGACAACTCTGGCCTTGTAGAGAGAAAAGGCCAAACAGAGACCAAGAATTGATGCATTCTTAGGTAGGAGAAATCCCTAGATCTAAGAATCTTTGCAGCCAGTGTCGTATAGATTTTTTTTTCTCTGACCATGTTTACAACACAATCAGATGAAATTAATAGTGAGAATAGTGTATGGTTTTGTAGTTACCACCCTCCAGCCTCCCCTCCCCTGTTAAAAAAGGAAAGTTTAGTTCGATAGAGACACATTTTTAAATGTCAGTCACCCTTTCATCCTTCCGTGTTGTGTTCTCCATCTCTAGAAGTTCTCACTAAACCTATTCCCCAAGAGGGAAAACCCATGCAGACCTGACTCTGAACACCCTTCACAGAAATGAAACATTTTCCCCAAACATTTCCTTTTGGATTGGTATTTCTCTGTGACCTTCGATGCGCCTGGGGATCCTTATCTTGGAGAAGGGAAAGGCAAGGTGGCCTTCCTGGAGGCAGCTTTCTTGGGAGCACCAGGCCTGCCTGTAAGCCACCGGGAGAGAAGGGGCTCTTGTGGGGGAGGGGACAGGATGTGAAGGAAGCAGGTCCTGCCTGAAAGAAGCAGAGCAAAGGGCTCTCCCAGCCAACGCAAATCAGTACGTTTTCCCTGCTTGCCTTATTCTAGTACCTTTGCTGGACTCCTGCGCGCGGGTTTGCACTACCGTTGCAGCGTCTGGGTGCCCACCGCAAAGCCCCGCGGCTGCGGCCGGCCGCAGCCACCCTCGCTCCTCTGCTAGTTCGTGGCCTCGGTGCTCCTCTCCCTCCACCTCTTTTCCTCTCTTCTGATCTGTTTTGAAAGGCAGACTGAGTGGGGTGTTTTCCTTGGGATCACAAACTTGTACTCTCATTGAGGCCGACACACATAAAAAACAGCGACCGTCACGCCTCCGCGCGCTGCTCGGAGCTCCGGGTAGGCCCGGCCAGGACTGCGGGGCTGCTCTGCCTCGGCGGGCGACCCAGAGCGCGCTCTCCCAAAGCTGCTCTCTAAGGCAGCGTCGCCTGGCCCCCAGCCGATAGGCTTCCGCGGCTCGGTAACTTCCTCACCTCCTGTCCCCAAAATCCTGGGGGCTATTCCGCGGAGTAGGAGCCCTTTGGGCCTCTGGACAAGTAGACCAGCGCCTCATGACTCAAGCTAAAGTCTCTTTAAATGCCTCGGGAGAGTGGGTGAAGGCGAGCCGCGATTGAAACAAGCGGCTCACTCAGCTGAAAGTGCTTCTTTCTGAGCTCTTCTACTAGAAAGGGAAGGATCCAGTAGACAGAACGCCGGGGCTCGGAGCTGTTCATGGCATCCGCAGCTCAGCCAAGCTGTTGTTTTAAAAGAGCAATAAAAATGAATTATGACTAAACGCCTTCTAACTTAATGCTTTCGGACGGGGATCCCTGGCAAATACGTAAGAGGATTTTTATTTGTGCATGTGTTCCTGCAATTGATCTCTTTGATGACATTCTCATTCATAGAAAGCATTTGATTTATGAGCATAGGACGAATCACATCCAGGAGCTGCTCGGCCGGGAGGCCAGGACGCCCTCTCGGCGCTGAGCCTAGAGCCTAGAGCCGGAAACCCGGCCACAATCCCCACACGCCTTCACTGCTGTTGGGATTTAGGGGGTGAAGGGGTGAGGGAAAGTAGGGAGCATATCCATGATTTCATTGTAATTTTGCAGTTAAGAGCTGGGTTCTTAAATCAACTCACCCCACACACATGTTGCTTACATGCTACATTTTCTCATGATAAGTAGCCATAAGAACAGAGCTTAGAAAAGGAAAAATTAATGGGGGGGAGACATAAAAGGGAAAACAGAACAACCCGGTAACTCACCCTACATCATATTTTATTGATATTTCATTTAAAGTGCTTTTTCTCTCTCTAGAAACTGTATAATTTATAACCTAGGGTGTAGAAACACTTGGTTTTAAATCTCAACTTGCTAACCTGACTTCAAAGCTTTAATGATCCATTATTAGCAATGTAAACAGATTTAAGAATGAAATATTGATTTTTCTGACCCTGGTGTGTGTATGTGTGTGGGGGGAATCCTGAAATGACTGAAACAGAAGATTGGAAAGAACCCTTTCTGAAGTACTTTGTAACCATTGTTTTGTTTTGTTTCTGTTTTTCTTTCTTTTAGGTCTGTTTTGCCTGAACCCATCAACAGCTGGGATATTGATCAACCACATGGAAAATGCACAGGGATTTATGGATTTATGGAGGAGGAGGGGATCAGAATGTAGATGTTTAAAACAAATGTGTATAAATAAATGAATTGTTGGTAACTTAGTTATTGACCTGAAGACTGTTAGCTTGTTAAAGAAACTCCATGTTAGTGGTTCCTGGAATTGGAGGTTTCTTGTAGACATTTTCTTTCTTCACTTTCAAAAGCTTGGGGTTGGCCCAACTCATAGGCTGCCCAATCCTGCTTTTAGTATCAGTTTAAATCTATGGCTTTAATCTCTACACTAAAAACAAAATCATTCCCTTACAAAAAAGAAAAAAGGCCAAAAAAACACTTGTCGGAAGTCTTAGCCATTTTCTGGCTTTCTTTTTTGTTGCTATCTATCTTGGTACATGCCACCTTAGTAAATATATTAAAATTGAAATAGAAGATAAATTGTGACCAGAATTTTATTTACCAAGTTAGATTAAAAGAAGAAAAAGAAACCGTTATGAGCCTTGAGAAAGAAAGAGAGAAAAAAAGTAAGAAAGCTACTTATAGCAAAGGAGAATTTATTCTACCAAAAATACGCATGACAATGCATCCTAATGTAATACAAAAATAAAAAGAAAGTGAAGATTCAATTATATGATCACTTTCTTGCAGGGCAGGCCTCATATATTGCTTTCACTTAGAGGGTTGTTGGATTAGATTTAAAACAACTAAAACTCCAAAATAATCTGCAAGAGATGGCTCTGAAACTGGGCCAGGGAAGTCACTAAACAGAAAATCCTCAACATTGAAAGGAGGGAAGGGGTAAGTGGAGAAGAAAATAAAATAAAAATCAACTCCCAGAATAAAAGAAGGCAAAACCACCTGCTCAAAGGGGTTTTTGTTTTGTTATGCTTTGTTTTGCTTTAATGTTTTTAGTAATTCAGATGCTGCAAGTCGATTGTGGTGAGTGTGTCTGTAAAAAAGTCAAAGCTGTCAGCTGAAATATCTACAGGACTGTCGAGGGAACCTGGCAAACTGGGCGAGACTGCATCTGAAAGCTGCAGGCAGGAATCTGTGGAGAAAACGTTAAAGTCCTGCAAAGAGGGGACCTCGAGGGCCTCGGGACTGTCATTGTTTAGGCCAGCTCCACAGTTCTGGCCCATTGTTGACAAGCAGTTAGGAACAGTGGGTGACTGGTGCTGAAAATGTTTCAGATTTTTCTCATTGCTGGTTAAAGGCGAAACTGGGAAAGTTTGGGAGTCGCCATTGTGTCCATTGGGAGCCTGCTGCTGAGAAAGGGCATTTTGCTGAAAAGTGTAACCTTCCCTCTCCAGAAGGGCCCCGGAGACACTAAGGGCTTGCTCAAAGAGTGACTTCTCTTCCTCGTCCTCTTCCACTTTCTCGGAGTCCTCCAGGCTTTTAAATTTCCCTTCGCTGTTTTGGTTCTCCTTGCACTGGGTCTGCCTCTTGTGCTTCATCCTCCGGTTCTGAAACCACACTTTGACTTGTCTCTCAGTCAAATCCAGCAGCGCTGCAATCTCCACCCTTCGGGGTCTGCAAAGGTACTTGTTGAAATGGAATTCTTTTTCCAGCTCTAAGAGCTGTGTGTTGGTGTAAGCAGTTCTCAGGCGCCGCGATCCCCCGCCGCTGCCATCAGCGATTTCCAGGGATTCTGCGGAAAGGGAAACCAACAAGAAACACACACACACAGTTGGAGGTGGAGGGGCCCAAGCGGGGTTATTCCACTGGAGAATAAATATAGCAGAAAAGATCAACTGCAACAAAATGGCCGCCCCTGGATGCAGTAGAGCTATTGTGCTGCTTTTCCTGGGAGCCCAGCCCAGGGAGACCCCATCTCTTCCACCTCTATCAAATTCCTGCCTGGAGCTCCCCCCAACCTCTTCATCTGGGAGCAAACTTTATATTAGCCACAACACAATTTATAATTAATGCATCAGCTGCTTAGCTGAGCAAGAGCGATCTATCACTCTTCATTACTGTCAAAAAGCCAAACTCTAGCACAACTAGACAAGAGGAGGTCAGTTCCAACTCAAATAAATCATCCCACATTACACAAGTTAGGGAAAGTTTTTCCCCCTCTTCCTCAAAATATATGCGTCTCATTGTGGAGTGCAGGATCCCCTTTCCTCTCCATCAAACCCACTCCTGAGCCCATGGGGTCAGGAAAAAGGCAACCAAGCATCTCTCCCTCTCCCCCTTCTCTCCCAGCCCACGCTCCCCTCCCCCATAACCGCTCTCGGGGAAGCCCGGAGGGGGAAGAGGGTCCCAGGGACCTGGGGCCAAGTCTTTGGACTGACCTTTGTGGCTGAGGCAGGCTGGGCCGGTGGCTGCAGCTGCAGTGGCGGCAGCGGCGGGCGGCAACACGGTTTTCTTGGCCGCCTTCTTCTCCTTCATCCAGGGGTACTCGGGCGGCTGCAGGGCGCCGGCGGGGACCGGGGCGGC